GTACCAGACTGATAACCTGTATCTCCCTGGCTGCACGCTGGAGGGAGTACCAGACTGATAACCTGTATCTCCCTGGCTGCACGCTGGAGGGAGTACCAGACTGATAACCTGTATCTCCCTGGCTGCACGCTGGGGGGAGTACCAGACTGATAACCTGTATCTCCCTGGCTGCACGCTGGGGGAGAGTACCAGACTGATAACCTGTATCTCCCTGGCTGCACGCTGGGGGGAGTACCAGACTGATAACCTGTATCTCCCTGGCTGCACGCTGGGGAGAGTACCAGACTGATAACCTGTATCTCCCTGGCTGCACGCTGGGGGGTTGTACCAGACTGATAACCTGTATCTCCCTGACTGCACGCTGGGGGGAGTACCAGACTGATAACCTGTATCTCCCTGGCTGCATGCTGGAGGGAGTACCAGACTGATAACCTGTATCTCCCTGGCTGCACGCTGGGGGGAGTACCAGACTGATAACCTGTATCTCCCTGGCTGCACGCTGGGGGGAGTACCAGACTGATAACCTGTATCTCCCTGGCTGCACGCTGGGGGGAGTACCAGACTGATAACCTGTATCTCCCTGGCTGCACGCTGGGGGGAGTACCAGACTGAGCACATGCTCACTGGCTGTTGTATCAGACTGGACAGGCAGCCGCCGGAAGTGATGTCTTTCACCTTCACCAGCAACTACAACTCCCGCGATGCACTGCGCGCCAGACAGGAAGCATGTGGGTGTTTGTGCACAGGAGGGGCGGAAATAGAATTGACAACTGGAAGCAGAGGAGAGTATGGATCAGTGATTGGAAAGGGGGTAACAGAAAGTAATAGGAAGCCCAGCCAGGGTATAATTAAAATATATTATAATAATAACCAGGATCTGGGCAGCCCAGGGCTGGGTATAGCAGCTCTTACTATACAATATTAAATATAATATCTGTACATAGCCATAGAAACCCTATTACAGACACCCTGCATGAAAGGTCAGCTAAGATGTATGGACTATCTAGTAATGAGTCAATAAATATATATATATACAGATAGTACAGGGCTGTGAGAGAGCTGTCAGTAATAAAATAGAGATATACAGATAGTGCAGGGCTGTGAGAGAGCTGTCAGTAATAAAATAGAGATATACAGATAGTACAGGGCTGTGAGAGAGCTGCTAGTAATAAAATAGAGAGATACAGATAGTGCAGGGCTGTGAGAGAGCTGTCAGTACTAAAATAGAGATATACAGATAGTGCAGGGCTGTGAGAGAGCTGTCAGTAATAAAATAGAGATATACAGATAGTACAGGGCTGTGAGAGAGCTGCTAGTAATAAAATAGAGATATACAGATAGTGCAGGGCTGTGAGAGAGCTGTCAGTAATAAAATAGAGAGATACAGATAGTGCAGGGCTGTGAGAGAGCTGTCAGTAATAAAATAGAGATATACAGATAGTACAGGGCTGTGAGAGAGCTGTCAGTAATAAAATAGAGATATACAGATAGTACAGGGCTGTGAGAGAGCTGCTAGTAATAAAATAGAGAGATACAGATAGTGCAGGGCTGTGAGAGAGCTGTCAGTAATAAAATAGAGATATATATACAGATAGTACAGGGCTGTATAGGGTCCTCTGCCAAGCTATGGTGCTCTGGAAGCATTGGAGAGTTATATAGATTGTAAGCTCCAGGGACAAGGGAGTGTGAGCCAAGTTACAGGGATACTGAGGAGAACCACTTCTCAAAATGTCCCTGGAGGATCCTTTCTCTGTGGTCAGAAGGTGAGTAGGTTTGTATGTTTTGCTGTCTGGTGATCCTGGGAGTTGTAGTGGGGTCTCTGTTGATTGATACAGACACCTCTTCTTTGTCTGACTACGAAAGGCTACTTTATATTTTTTTCAAGAACAGATCAGCAGTTTGTAAAATGTGTAATAACAGCCTTCACCTTACCTGCTTTCAAATGGATGTATGGGTGTATTCAAAGAATCATGAAGAACTGACAAAATCATTTAAAAAAATTAGATGAAAATAGCTTGAAAAAAACATCTTCCAGTTTGGCTAATGTTGTGTAAAATCTGTGTTCCCTCTTCTATTTGCAAAAAGCATAACTGTGATACATTTATTCATTTTACTTTTTCTAATTTATTTTCAAAGTATTGCAGAAACAGTTGAGGTGAGCTTTTATATAATTGACGATATCCTACGGATAATTCACTTAGTTGTGAGTGACTGGGAATTGAAGAGGGTACGCACATTTACCATATTAGCCAAATTTGGAAGAGTTGCCGAGTCTAAAAATTTTAATAACATTTTCTGAAATATTTGATTTCTAGTCTTAAAGGTTTACTGCAACCCTTTTCTGACAGTTTTATTTTTTAATGATTAATGCCTTATTTTTGCACAGAACTGACATTTGGTTTCCAGGCTGCCAAAGTCTTGTGTGTCAATATTTTAATTAGCCCCAGCACACAGTGCAAATACCTAATATATGTGCAATATTTCAAGCATAAATCCTTTAATAGATGGGAAAAAAGACTAATTAAAGGGACACTATAGTCACTAGAACCACTACAGCTTAATGTTTTAGTTCTGGTGTCTATAGACTGTTACTGCTCACTTAGCACTGTGAACACTGACATTTCAGAGAGAAAGCAGTGTTTACATTGCTGCCTAGTAACAACTTTTGTGGCGGTCTCTCAGACGGCCACTAGAGGTGCTTCCTATCTCAGTGCTGCACAGTGTGCAGTACTGGTGTTCAGCGCCTCTATGCAGAATGCAGAAATTCTAAACCTTCCTCATAGAAATTTATTGATTGAATGCATTTCTATGAGGAGATGCTAATCAAGATTGATGATCTCAGCCATGGAGGCTGGGCCAGCATGACGTTGGAGAAAAGATACGTATACTATCTTTAATCTTCACAGATAGGGGGCCAGGGGCCTAATGATGTATTCCGCAAGTATAGTGTCAGAAATACATGTTTGTTTTCCTGACACTATAGTGTCCCTTTAAATATTTTGGCGTAATTGTTAAATCTTAAGTGCACCTTTCAAGGCTTATTTTTTTCATTTTTTTTATGCACTGTCTATTTTCCACCACCGCAGTGAGGTGCAGAAAGCACTGAACACCAGTCGGGGTCTGTACCAGCGCTGGTGCGAGCTACTTCAGGAGAGTCATGTGACCAGTGTGGAGGAGTTTGATTGGACAACCAATGAACTTAGGAATTCACTGAGGAGCATTGAATGGGATCTTGAGGACCTGGAAGAAACAATCAGTATCCTTGAAGGGACACTCCAGGCTGCCACACGTTAGGTGCACTGTGTAGGTTAGGTTACAGTTAGTTATACTGGGTGGGTTTATATTATTAAAGGGACACTCCAGGCTCCCACACACGTTAGGTGCACTGTGTAGGTTAGGTTACAGTTAGTTATACTGGGTGGGTTTATATTATTAAAGGGACACTCCAGGCTCCCACACACGTTAGATGCACTGTGTAGGTTAGGTTACAGTTAGTTATACTGGATGGGTTTATATTATTAAAGGGACACTCCAGGCTCCCACACACGTTAGGTGCACTGTGTAGGTTAGGTTACAGTTATACTGGGTGGGTTTATATTATTAAAGGGACACTCCAGGCTCCCACACACGTTAGGGGCACTGTGTAGGTTAGGTTACAGTTAGTTATACTGGGTGGGTTTATATTATTAAAGGGACACTCCAGGCTCCTAACACACGTTAGGTGCACTGTGTAGGTTAGGTTACAGTTAGTTATACTGGGTGGGTTTATATTATTAAAGAGACTCTCCAGGCTCCCACACACGTTAGGTGCACTGTGTAGGTTAGGTTACAGTTAGTTATACTTGGTGGGTTTATATTATTAAAGGGACACTCCAGGCTCCCACACACGTTAGGTGCACTGTGTAGGTCAGGTTACAGTTAGTTATACTGGGTGGGTTTATATTATTAAAGGGACACTCCAGGCTCTCACACACGTTAGGTTAGGTTACAGTTAGTTATACTGGGTGAGTTTATATTATTAAAGGGACACTCCAGGCTCCCACACACGTTAGGTGCACTGTGTAGGTTAGGTAACAGTTAGTTATACTGGGTGGGTTTATATTATTAAAGGGACACTCCAGGCTCCTAACACACGTTAGGTGCACTGTGTAGGTTAGGTTACAGTTAGTTATACTGGGTGGGTTTATATTATTAAAGGGACACTCCAGGCTCCCACACACGTTAGGTGCACTGTGTAGGTTGGGTTACAGTTGATTATACTGGGTGGGTTTATATTATTAAAGGGACACTCCAGGCTCCCACACACGTTAGGTGCACTGTGTAGGTTAGGTTACAGTTAGTTATACTTGGTGGGTTTATATCATTAAAGGGACACTCCAGGCTCCCACACACGTTAGGTGCACTGTGTAGGTTAGGTTACAGTTAGTTATACTGGGTGGGTTTATATTATTAAAGGGACACTCCAGGCTCCCACAC